TGAAGAGCCGTATGGCTGGATCTCTTAAGATCTCACTGTTGAATTGATAAGAGAATCGATAAAGAATCGAATCGTCAAACAGAATCAAAAATGGAATCGGAATCGTGAAAATCTTATCAATACCCATCCCTACTCACCACATGCCAGAGCAGGAGCAGACTTCCATGATGCAATCTGGAAAGGGTAGTTCCATGCACCGATTCCCACACACACACCAAGTGGCTCCCGTCTAGTGTAAGCAAATGCTCCTCCAGGGAGCTGGATGTGCTGGCCTGCACCAAAATGATGTTAAAAACAATACCAAACGGAGGTTTTTGCACCTTTTGACAAACGCAGAATCATTGGTGCACCCACCCGCAAGTGTACCAGCCAGGCCGGCATAGTACTCAATGCTCTGCCAGGCAATGTCAATATCCACCAGAGCCTCAATGATGGATTTCCCATTGTTGATCACTTCCAGCTTTGCAATTTTTTCCCTCCTTTCCTATTTTTTTAAACATGCATAAAGGGGGGGAAAAAAGCATGGAACAATTTTAATTGACACTCATCCGTAATTTTGTGGAACAAGATGTCTTGTTTTAAGATTATGCAATGACCGAGAGACAATAGAGACACACAAAAGGTTAAATTGGTTCAAATGTAGGCCAGCAAAGAAGGGAGGGCTGCATTTTAATGAATAACGAATGTATTATTGCAGGCTTCCAACAGTCAACTCCAATTTATATTGCGCAAACACTGAACTAGACAGTTTCCTGGACTGCTGGTGGTTATTACACAACAGCTTGACCGTCTCACCCTGATAATGCGAGCAGCCTCCAACATCACCCGAGCCCTCTCCATGCCTGCCATCTTGCTCCACTTCTGGTAGGCGGCGCAGGCACTCTGTATGGCTTCGTCCACCTCCTCAGCCCCACAGGGCACCATCTGACACAGGACCCGGCCTACAGAGACCAGAAGAACACCAGGTTACAGAGCTCTACACCATGCATTTTTCTTTTTTCCTATTTTTTTTTGTATCAAATCTCTTTTCAATTTCTAATAATTGACCTGAATCAGTAAAAACACCCTCACTAACAGTAGTGATCTTCTTTGTGCAACATTAAAATGTAAAACAGACCCTTGCATTCTTTAATCTAAAGATATTTTGATACCTGCCTGCCATTACTGTGCATATTCAATTTATAAATAACCTGAAAGCATGAAATTCAGTCAAATTTATACTAATATCAAGGGAAAAAAATAGCCCTTTGTTTGTCTACTAGTCTGCACATAGTTAAGGCAAAATGTCTATGTTACAATACTTAACAGAAGTCTGAGCAAAATCTGAGCGTTTCAAATATATTTCAGAAGAACCGCAGGCCTTTAAACCACCGTCACTTGTTTTCCCCAGAATACGTGTCCTTAGCAGGAGCATTAAGGCTAAAGCAGATTTTAAAGAGAAGTATATTCACCAGTTGCAGGCTCAAACACGGGCTCAGCGTTTTTCTCCCCCCTGGGTTTCACTCGTTTTCCACCCCAGAAGTTCAGAGGCTCCGTGACAACCACGGTCCCCGTCGAGGCTCCGGGCATCGAGTCGAGGGTTGACTGCGCCATTTCCAGATACAAAGCGCCTACAGGGAATTATGTAGCAAAGTTATAAAACAGATGTGCAACTAACTTAGGACAAGTGATCTAAACTGGTCGCTCCCTTTGCTAACGTGAAGCTAGCACGGACATTAAGTTAGCTAAGCTTGCACAAGAAGCTTGCACAAGAAAAGCAGCGTGCGCAGATATTAAATATGATAGTGGACAAGTAAAAGTAGCTGAAGTCTTACCACTTATGCTCCCGCAGAAGGACTGGAAATCACCTCCAGTCCAGCCAGTTTAGCAGCCAGAAGGCCACGCCTCCTTCATGCTACCACCCCGTTCGGCTTCTTCGGTTACACACTCCGAGTAGAGGTCAAATAAACAACCGTAAAAAATTTATGGGGTGCAAAGATTAAAATATCCAGCAGCAGACTCAAAGACATTATAAAAGAGGGTTTTGTGTTAATCAGAGCCCTAAATGGAAATGGAAAAATGAATAACCAGGCAAACGCTTTAATTTACAGGGATTAAACAGCTCTATATAAAAGTACTGTTCAGACTATTTTTAAGTGTTTAAAATACTTTGAGAATTTCATTAATGTATTTATCTACTTGTTAGCAAATTAATGAAAGGAGCAAGAACTGATGTTTGATGTTTTTGCCGTTGCTTTAATTACTGCCCAGATTGTGGCATCTTGCTTGTTTCATACAACCATGAAATGTATCCACAGCATGTGTGGAGTTCACCCATGAAAAACTGAATGCATTGATAATTTAATAAAGTGGACACCTGCTGTGTAATATCCCAGAGTTCACTTTTCGGGACCTCAGATTGTATGCAAAACATGACCGTGGCTTCTGATTGGTGCTTTAAACCTGCACGTTTTCTTAAAGCCAACAGGTTTAAAGAAGCCAGTTACTGCATATAGAAGTCGATGGAGGGGGGAACCATCATCCTACTCAATGTACAACTTCAGTAAACACTTTTCTTGATGATTTAATGGGCTTCAAATTACTTGACAATAACTAGTAAGATTTTAAATGGGAAGGATAGTTTTTGTGCTACATCCCACAATTTTTTGTTTCAACTTTTAATCACTGACAATTAAAAAAAAGATCCGATCTTAATTTAGTTCAGCAGCATCGGCATACTCTTCTTTGTTTTCCCTTAAAAATATCTTGTTCACTCACTCAAATGAGTTTCACTCAATAGCTTCCCTTTAAATTAGATGGTAGTACAAAGGGACAAAAAAACAACAACAAAAAAAAGACATGCCTGAAATATAATCATAAAACTTTATTAATATGCATGACACAACAGTACACAATGACAATAATACTGAAACTGGATCAGATGTTACTGTGTCAATCGTTAATTTAAAATCTCCAAACACTCCATGAATTTTGCTGAATGCACAGCTGACATTTGTAACCTTTAATAATCAACAGAATGAACTATAATGTTCCTATAATTTCTAACCAAAACAGTTATAATGTTTAATGTTAAATAAACAACAAAATGAATAAGAAATCAAACAAAGTAGTGGTACTGTAGCTGCAACGGGTAAGACTTTTAACCTCAGCAGGAGCAGTTCTGTCTGTGCACTGGTTGGGGCGCTATGACTGCAGGCAGCAGTGCAGGAACATCTGGGCTGCTGATTACGAAAACTTAGCTGCTTGTGGAGGAGGTCCTAAAAAGCCTCCAGCCTGTTTGGTTGCAGCTCTGGAGGGTGCAAGACCGAGCATCTTCTGAATGTTCTACAGGAAAAAACAAAACAAAAGAAAACAGCAGAAACTCAAATACCCAAAACCAGCACAGAATATACATTTGATAACACTTAGTATGCACGATATTAACCCTGATATATTGCTGTATATTATTCTACACATACAGTTTCCTGCTAACACCAGTTGGATGTGTATTCAACAAACAATACAGAATTTATCCTAAGGGTGGCAGTAGAGAACACAGCAAGTTACTTAAATTAACTCAACTGCCTTGGTCTCCCTGTGGAAACCAGATAATATCATCTGGAGGTGTTTATGCTGAATCTGAGTAACAGTAAGCTATTTAGTCCTTGTACAGCTGCAGCGGAAGCTCTGTCCATATTGCCAGCAATAAGTCAGACTTGTTCCTGGTGAGTATGTCCACTGATATACGATAAAAGTATAGACGTTACCTGTCTGATGGACATGGTGCAGAGGATATAGAGGAAAATAAAGGAGCAGTCGGTGTAATCCTCGCCCAGCAGGTTGCGGTGTGACAGTCCCTGGATATACGACAGTGGCACAAATGGCAATTTGGCCACAACTCTTCCATCGAAACTGAACATAACATAAAAAGCCAAAAAGGGAACTTGTTTAAAACAATGGACTGGACAAGTTACAAGTTACTTTCTTATATTTTGCCTTATGTTTTTTTTTTTTTTTATGAAAAGAGAAAGCTTTTTAACAAAATGTGAAACAGTATTTTACCCTGCAGTAACTTACATGGAGTTGAACATGCCCATGAGAGCTGTGAAGCAGAAACCAATGGCGAACATGGATTTCATCCGTACCTACAAAACAAACACTCAGGATTTAAAACGCATACATTTAACTATAAACACTTTAATTAAAATATATAAGGTTTGACTGGAATGATCAGCGGGCAAAAGTTTGACCCGCCTCTCAACTGATTTACGAACAAAAAATATGCTACAGTTGTTGAAATGAAAACAAAATGGTCATTCTGAACGGGTTGTGTGGGAACTTTTTTCAGATTCAGTTGGCTTTAAATGGAATGACCTCACTAAACTACGATAACTAGACAACCGCAGTGTCAGACATTAAGCCTGGGCTGCATATTAACTGGAAACAAAACATCTCTCACCATAGACAGGTCTCTGTTGTTGTTCTTCAGCTTCTCCTCTTGCCTTTCTGCAACACAATCATACACAAAACACTGTTATCCAGAGGAGAAGGGCTGATCATAAAAGCAGAACACCGGTTTGTTTACAGGGTTCTTACCAATCTTCTTCTTTTGTTGGCGTCCAGCAGATTCAGTTATGGTTTCCTTTTTCTTCTCAACTAGTATCAGAGAGGACAAAATTAATCCTTTAACAATCTGAGAAAAATAGCAAGTTAACAAGACAACACCGCAGTCACTTACGTTTTTTGCTTTGCTTTTCCACTTCAGCCTTTAGCCTCTTGTACTTTTCAGTCCGATACACTAAAACCCAGGTAATCCCTGAAGAGAAAATATTATATTGTATATATATTGTTTAAATAAAAATAATAATAATAATAAAAAAACATTGAAAACTGCCACTGAAGTTTCCAACAGTTCACACTGATCAATATGTGAAGTTTTTGCACATTTCTGAAACCTTTTCCTGAATCAGAAGAAATCTCTGCAGCCACAGTATCCAATAAGCTTTGCATCCTCTTCTGTCACACCAACCCTCTGCATTCCTCCTTCACTCTATCCATGGATCTCCTCTACGGTCCACACAGCTCACTGATGATCAGTTCTCTTCTTAGACTAGCTTTACCAACTCTTTCCCATAGATTAATGGCATGTCTCATCAACTCTATCTCTCTGCAGTTATTACAGCTCTCCACATCACGCTTGTTGTTGAAAACTGGTAGCAGTAAACATCTTCTCTATTCCTCAGGCATCCTCTCACTTTCTAAGATTGTGTTAAACAATGTAGTTAAAAAGTCCACTGCCCTCCCTTCTAAACATCTCCATACTGCCACAGGTATGTCTTCTAGACTACCGATCTTTAAATTCTTTATTCTCTTCATCACTTGCTCTAATAGGCTGACAAAATACAACAAAAAGACTTCTACTTCTACTCTGGAATGTAAATCATACACAAATGTGGTTAAATAATGTCTTACTTCCGTATCTAAACTAAACATTAAAAATTAAATTGTAACAATTTTTTATATCTTTTTCAAATTGTTAATGTAGATAGCGAGGAAGTCAATATTCTCCCCGAGGAAAGCGTCTCAAACGTAAGTTCAGGCTTTTATTGCTAAATTAACCGGAAGACACAAACGTTAAGCTGTATTCAGTCGTTAACAAAGTACAGGTCAACAAAAGCAACAAAATTGCGAATTAATGAATATTAATAACATTGAAGACGTTTCCCTACCATATAAATGGAGTAATGTAAAATTCTGAGCTATAACAGTGTTTTCTGGAGCACGGTAAAACGCCCGCCTCGACCTGTCAGACAGCTATGGCTCACCTTCGGCTAACAACGCTGTACAAATTGAGATGAAGACGATCAAAATGGTGTCTGCGAACATGGTACTCATGGTGTCAAAGTCCCTTTTTCCAGGCCGTAGAGAGGAAAAGTATTTACTTTATATCAGAAGA